CCCTCACCAAGAGTTCTGAGGCCCTGCCATGATCTAGGCTGTGTGGCCACAGTGGGGCCCCCGGGCTGTGACCCACACACCTTGGAGCAGGACTCAGCACCGAGGGCAGACAACCCAATCGTGCAGGGGCTGAGTGACCCCATGATTCAACTCTGAGGAAACCTCTGAATCATTAGAAACACAAACAGGGGCTGCATATGAGACAGTATCAAGGAATGACTGCCGGCTTTTCGGGGTGATGAAGCTCCTCTGGCTGTTTTCGGAACCTTTTCTGCTAGGGATACGTGCTGAGATATGTACGCACTGAATGGTAAACGTCCCGGGGTCTAGGGCCCAGATGGAACAAGACTGGCTGAGAATTGATAATTTTGAAGCTGGGTTCATTCTAGTATTTTCTCTGTGTTTGGGAATGTTTGAAATTTTCCACAATAAAAAGTTAAACAGGAAAAAAAGGCCCCAAAAAATGGAAGGGCCAGGCTGTGCAGCCCTGGGTGGAGGGCTTGTGTACAACTCGAAGCAAAGCAGGAAGGGGTCGGCCTGCCCTCCGAAGCCGCACGCTGCTAGGCATCTCTGCCCCTGCCCAGAGAGACATCCTGCGGGAAGGTCACAGCAGGGGGCTGGCTGCTGAGAATGCCAGGCAGCCCCCCTATCGGGCTGCCCCTTCCTCCTACCACCCCACCCGGCTTGCATCAGATGGGGCAACAGGCCAGGCGTGCGGCTTGAGAGGTGCAAGCACCTGGGAGCAGGGCCTGTGATGAGCCGAGGGGCATCCACCGCAACACAGGCAGTTGGGCTCTGCGGCCTGCGAGGTCAGCAGGACTCCGGGGCGCAGCCACCCTCTCACTCAGATTCCCGATACCCTAAACCTTTCAGACTCTAGAGCACTTTGAGAATATAAATAGGGGGTGTGAGGTTAACTTAGAGGAGCTATGTAATTCCACAAAAACATATTCCGGTGGTTTTCTGCTTAGCCTAACAAACTCCTACTCATCCTTCAATACCCATGCAACACAGCTTTTGGAGTGCTTTCTCTGACCCCTCAGGACTGCCTCTCCCAGGCCCCACCCAGCACACAGTGTCGTCGCTGCTGGTTTCGGGGTGTATCTGCTCATCTCTGCGTCCTCCGTGTAAACCTCTTAGGTGAGTGAGTGTCTATGTCTAGGGCGTGTCTGATGGGGTTCCTCTCTCCTCCTCCCAAGGTATCCAGCGATTGAGGAATGAGACAGAATGTGCAGAGCGGCCAGGAAGCCCTGGATGTGACATGCTCCACGGTCCCTGGCCGAGGAGAAACAGACAGGGACGAAGTAACCCCAGAGGGGAAGCCAGCAGCACAGTGCTGCCCTGCATGTGCCCACCAGCGTGGGTCCCGCATCCAGGAGGGAGGGAAGGCCCCAGGGGACTCAATTTGTGGAGAGAGGGGCCACACTGCCTGCAAATGTCCACAAGGCCACAGGGCCCGAGGCGGTACTGTCTCACACCTATGGCCCCGGGAAGTGCACGTCAGGGCTGTGGGTCTGTGTGGACAAGGCTTTGGGGGCCCCTGATAAGGAAAGGCCCAAGGTGGGTGGGGGTGGCTGACCTGCAGGGACAGACGGAAAAACAGGAGGGAGACAGCCAGCTGTGGCTTCTGGTTTCCCACACTAATAAACTTCACAGGCTTTTATGACACCAAGTTGACCGGCAAGCAACATTTTTGCCAAACTGAATTCACTGACACACATCACGGAGCCTCTCCCGAGGGTGGGGTTCCAGTGGGTCTGCCAACCTCATCAGGAATTAGCTAGAGCCAGAAAAGTAGCAGCCTTCCTTCAGCAGAACATCGCACAGCAGTGGGAAGGGACCCAGCCCACGGACACGCCCCAGAACATCACCCGAGCACAAGGCAGGTCACCGTGGCCTGGCGACTCCACTTTCAGGCACAGATGCATGTGGCGAAACCACAGAGAATCGAGGCAGGGACGAGCCTCACATCAGGAGAGGGATGAGGGTTGGGGGGTGACTAGGAGGCTCTGAGGTGAGGTGTTTGAGGTGCCTGCTCTTCCTGGCTTAGGGACCCCACCTCTGGGCTGCGTGATGCTCCCCCACTGCCCTCCAGAACATTTCATACTAGCGCCTCCACCAGTACCAGCCACAGAACGTCAGGGAACACAGAAGCCCCCAGGCTCCGTGCAGTGCGCATGGCAAGCACACGGGCGGCACTGGCTTTGATATGGTTGCTGTCAATGCAGTGTAGCCGCGGGACCTGAGCCGGGCCTGGCGTCTCTTCAGGTCTAAGTTTCAAGCCTGCTAGAGAAAGGCTGCACTGGGCAATGCCAGGACTCAGGGTCCAGCGAGGCCACCAGACACACGTGGATCTTCGTCCATGATAGGGCAGCCACGGGACAAATGAGCTGCTCCCTGGGGCCAGGAGGACAGCAGGCTGTGGCCCACACTCGACCATCCCCGTGCCCGGGCTCAAGCCTGCAGCAGTCCCTGGGCGGTCACAGGGAACATTTGGTCACCGCAGACAACCACACTGACCCATGACTCCCAGAGGCGCAGGTTCAGAGGAGAGCAAAGGGCAGCCCACTCAGGTCTGTGCACGCTGCAGACACCCCAGGGCCCTGGCCAGGCCTCTTGGCATCAGCAGTTCCCTGCTCTCTGCTCCCGGTGACATCTGCACCCCCCAGCACCTCAATCACCCTTGGTCCCACCCGCAATGACACACTCAGGCTGGTGTCCTCAGCACATGGCTCAGTCCCTGGAGCCTTCCGGGACATCCCTTCTGAGTCTGGACTGAAATCCTGGCTCCAGAGGCCACTCCTTCCTCCTCCCACCTGCTTGTCCCAACACCCCGGGGCTCATCGAAGCTGACCCTCAGAGCAAGTGGCCCTCACCTCTGCCCACTGCTCTCCCAGCCAAGGGCCAACTCCAGGACCCCCACCTGCCTCAGTCCAGGCCTCTGGGACACCCAAAGCATCTTCCCAAGCAGGAACCAGGAGTTCCTCTCGTTCCCCCAGCTCAGCCTGGGCTGGTCCCAGCCTCACTGCCTGAGGGCCAGAGCCCCATTCCGCAGGCTCAATCAGGCTCATACACATGCATGCGTGCACAGACACGTGTGTGAAGACCTCCTCTCTGTGACACCTGTGACAGGCAGGGAGTGTCCCAGACTCAGGGATGTCCTCTGGAGACCCACAGGTACTGGCCACAGCCATACCTGAGGACTGATCACTTATAAGCAGTTCTGTGTCTTGATCAAGAAAAAACAAGCTGGCTGCCCTAGGTCCTGGAACACGGGCTGGGCCCCCAGGGGGCCAACAGGGCTGACCAGCAGGCGGCCCATGTCCAGCTGTGTGGAGTCACAGGGCAGAGGGGCCACCCAGGCCCCGCACCTTGTGGAGAATGGTTGGGAGCGCACGCCTCTGGACCTGCCCAGCCCACTTCTCAGTGTCCCTGCTGGGCCCTCTGCAGTGCCACCCACCCATAGCCCCTTGTGGGCTGGGAGGCCCACATGGCGACTGACCCGGCCCTGGGCACTGCCAAGCCCCTTTGTGGGTCAGTGATGACGAGGTAGACAAGGGCTGGGACAGGAGTAGGTCCCACTGCAGCCTAAAGGACCTCCCTGCAGCCCGATGTCAGAAAATGCTCCCAAGAAGGGGAAATACGGATGGCTTAGTATACAGCACGTGCTCAAACAATGCTGACACATCACTTCACAAATCACACAGGCCCACCCCCACAGGTGGCTGGATCACTGTAAACTGCAGGCCACAGACAGCAGGCAGCCCTCTCACCAACCCAGGGGATGCCTGTCTCTGCCGACATTCGGCCTCAGCATCTGGCGGCCTCGCCAGATGGGTCAGGGCCTCTCCAGCTCCTGATTAGCTCAGATTTGTGCCCTGGGAGGGGAAGGGCTGAGAGCGGCAGACAGGGGCTTCGCTTGGCTCCTCTACCAGGGCATCATCCAGCCCCTCCTCCATGGACCCCACTGCATGGGCAGCGACAGGGGGCTGCCACCTCAGTAAGGCAGGCACCCCCCTCCACACCCGCCTACACAGCCCCTCTGGGCTCCCTGGCACACCCTACCTTGGGGCTCCAGCAGGATCCCTGCCCTAGTCCCTCCCCACTGCCTCCTCAGATCTGCACCCCAGCCACAGAAGCTACCCCAGGCGGCCTCTGACCGTCACCATTGGATTTCCTGTGTGCTGACTTTGGGTTTTGTTTGTCCTCTACCTGCCCCACAGGACAAGGGCAGGGAAACCCTAGGAAGGCAGGGGACTGTCTGCTCCATCGCCACCTGCAGCGCCCAGAGCTGACCATCACCAGCAAGGCCCGTGACGCGGCACATCCACACGCCGAGGGCCACCTGGGGCCAGCACCAGGCTAGGCCCTTCCTCGCACACACCCTGCATGTCTTAGAAGCCCTCCCAGGTCAGGTGGGAGTGCTCTGCCACTGTGTAGAAAACTTGGGCTCTGTTAGTTAGGAAACTGCCGGGTCACCTCCCAGTTGGCCACGACACCAGGTCTCTGCTGTCAGAAGGCAGATGGCCAATCGCAGCATTGCCAGGTCACCCAAAACTTTGTCACTGAGCTGTCGTCCAGCGCACAGCTTTCAGGGCAGATGACATCACCCAACCACCATGGCGGGCTAGCCACCTTGAACTTCTCCCCCTCCAGCTCTGGGGGCAGAGACCCCAGTACACTTGGGAAGGGGAGATGAAGTGGGGCCCTGAGAACACCCTAACCAGAGCGCAAAGGTACATCCAGGAGTCTGAGGTCGGCACCCTAACCAGCCCAGGCCCCACCAGGCCAGAGGCGCCCTGAAGTCCCCAACACTCCTGTGCCTCCCTCTGCCACAGCATTCACTCCAGGAACCCCACTGCATGTGTTGGAGCCACAGGCCAGATGGGCCAAGTGCCAGCCAAGCCTGGGAGGGGCCTGCCGCACAGTCCACAGGGCTCGCCTCCAAAGCCCCTGCCCCAGCCTGACAGCAGCTGCGCTGGACACTCCCCATGCCCTACCTCTGGCCGACAGCTTCTTGGTGTTGATGATCTTGGCTGCATACTCATGGCCGGTGCAGAGCTTGACACAGCGTCGGACCACAGAGAAAGCCCCCCTGGGGAGGAAAACGGGGGAGCGAGAGACAGAGACAGAGACAGACAAGGAGAAAGAGAGAGAGCCGATTAATCTCCCCATAAACACTCCCCATTAAGCATCAGCCACCGGCCCAGCCTCGGGCAGATGGCTGTGAGTCAGAAATGGTGAGGAAGGGGTGCCCCTCACAAGCCACGCTCAGCTGGCCCCACTCAACACCAGCAGGACAGAGGCTGGCTTCCCGATGGCTGGCAGAGCCCTGGCAGATGGCACGCCCTGGGGGGTTGTGCGGAGGAGGAGGATCAGTCAGGTCCTGGCGAGGGTGGCAGAGGTGCCCCATTCAGCTCCTATGTGACCCACAGGCCCGCATCCTCGTGGGTTGGCTGGACCAAGAGTCCATGTCCGGGGCTTCTCAGCAGGCACCCTCGGAGGCTGTGCACCACGTCCATGAGGCCCTGCTGAGTCCTCCCCAGGGGGAAATGAAGCTGGCCTTGTCTGGAAGGCCCAGCTCCAGAGGGCAGTTATATTGGGATTTGGTGCGGTCAGACACAGGGACTCACAGGAGGTTTTGCAGGGAGGGAGAAACATCACATCATTAAACTGCAAAGCTGGAGGGGAGGGCCCCAAGAGCCTCCACTGTCCAGGAGTCATCGCAGAGGCCACGGAGGCCCAGGGTGGGGGTCAAGGGCCATTCATGAATCAACAGCCTGGGGGTGGGGAGAGGGGAGGAGGGATGGAGGACAGAGGGAGCGGACCAGCACCAACCATGACCCAGAGCCCAAGAGACACAAGTAAGGAATCGGGTTAAGGCTGCTGAGGCCATCAAGAGAGAATCTGAACGCGCCCCACAAAGCCTGGCCTGCAGAGGGCACCCCAAGGGAGTCAGTGCCACCCGAGGGGAGCCACAGAGCCCGTGAGGCAGGAGGGGAGGGGCCGGTGCCCACCAGGAGGCCCTGCAGAATCTGACTGTCACCACAGTCGATTTGATTTGCTTTCAGATCATTTTCTAAGAACAGCACACATGAAGCAAGGGGCCTGGGCAGGAAATGCCACATGAAGGGTCTGAGTCCAGACAGAAGGGCCAGAGGATGCTCTCAGGCTGAGGCTGGGAGAAAGGGGGGCTCGGAGGAAGCCCACCACCAGGCAGGACCCACCAGTGCAAACCTGAGCACGCACAACCCTCCTGTGTCTGCACCTGCAAAGTGCCCGGCCTCCCCTACAGGAACAGCCTCCGCTCCAGACAGCCTCCTCGGCCTGGACAGCCTGAGAAGCCCGCATGGGAGTCCAGGCCAAGGGCTCTCATGGAGGAAGAGGAGTGTCTTACATACAAACGCTGTTTTATCTATGGTCCTTAGTGGAGGTAAATCTTTGTAAAAGGGTACTGTTCAATTCCTTGAAAAGATAAATAATTACACTAAATCTAATGGAACATTTTCGTAATGGCTCAGGTCTTACGATCAGTGATTGTGCTTGGATGGCCGCTGAACTGCGTCTTTACTTTTTAAAGTCAACCCATGAACAGGGACAGGGGCTGTCTCAGGAGATGCGGGGGGAGACGCCCACTATTCACTCTGCATTCTCTTGTTTTGCTTGATTTTTTTCACCATGTGCATTGGTTACATTCTCAAAATGTTTTTTAAGAAAAATATAAACAAAGGATTATTGTTTTTAACATATGACATTAACTTGGGAGACTGAGGTGAGGGCAAAGACCGTGGGCTTTTTGCCTGTTCTGGCTTCAATCCTTGTCAGTCACTTCCTGGTTAGAAGGGGTGACACAGCTCTCTGAGCCTCAGTTTCCCCATCCATAAGACCAAGCATAAGGGCCTCCTGGGGCCACCATGTGGCTGTTTGCAGGACTTCTTACGAGAGGTGAGAGCTTCTGGAAATGAGTCCTGAGCTGCCATCTGTCGGGCTCTGATCCCTAGAGGGCACAGTGGCCGCGGGGCTGACCTGGCAGGCCTCCACTGCGTGTTCTGGACCAGGCTCTGAAGGGGAGTCCAGGCCTCCCTGCGCCAGGACCTCACACTGCAGGGCAGACCCTCAGTGGGAAGTTCAACAGACTGCACATCTATGGCGAGCTCATGATGCCCGTATGGCACTGCCATGGTGAGCCCGCCCCTGGGGCAGTGAGGAGACCGAAGTGCAGCTTCCCACCAGCACAGCAGGCTCCCGGCTGCTGGCCAGACTCAGACAGGTACAGGAGTAGAGGGTGCAAGCCACAGCTGTTCCCCAGCACACAGCATCCACACACCATACCACCAAGAGCCTGACGGCAGGCGGATGGGTAGGGGGACCTCTCCAGCCAACCCTTCTCCCCTCCCTGGGTCAGACAGCCCCTTTCTCCTCTGCAGAAGGCTCCGGAGAGCCCCTGCACCATCAGCCTGGGTCTGGGCAGTCAGCAATCCGGGGAAGGCGGGGCAGGGAACACAGGCAAGACAGCCAGAGCAGGGGGCCGAGGCCAGGCCGCGCTGCTGAGGAAGGAAGAGGGCAGGGCTAGGGGTCTGGGGATGAGTGTGGAGTAGGAGCACCAGGTCGCACAGCTGAAGCGACACAGGAGGCGGCAGGCACAGCACCAGGCACCCAGTTAACACTCAGCAGGAAGGGCCCAGGGGTGCAGGGCCTGGGGGTGAAGAAGGCCCTGCTTTTTGACACAGGCCTGCAGGTGGTGTGGAGGGCACCCTCAAGAAGAGAGGACAGGGTCCCCTTTCCCAGTGACTCAGGTGCTCCCAGAGGGAGAAGGCGGCCAGCTGGGGGAAGGGGCAGGAAGGCCGCTCCCAAGGAGACCACTGCTCCCGGCACCCCACGCCTGGGCTCTGCCTCTCCCACACTTTCCGTCCCTTACTGCAGCCCTGGACCTTCTCTGAGCCCCAATGTCATTGCCACCCCCAATCTCTCCCTCTCCTCTCTCCTCTGGGGAACTTTAGGAATGTATGCTTAAGTCCCCCACCCCGGTCATCTCCCCCACTTCCCCTAAAGAGCACTGTGGAAGGGGCTCCTCCCCATACCGGCTATCTGCCATGCCCATCCTGCCATCTCCCCAGGGCACTTGGGCTGGCAGCTGCAGATCCACCTCTGCCTCCTCCCCTTCCCGGTGGTTCTGCCACTCGACAGATGCCAGTCTGTCACAGGAAGCCCCCTTGGAAGTGTCAACCCTCTGAGAAGTGGCCACAAACACGTTTAGCATGAGCCAGGCAGGCCACGGCTAGGGCCCCAACATCTCTGGCTTCTCCAAGAGCAAAGAAGCCAGCACCATCACCATCCTCCCTTGCAACTCAGTGCGCGCCCGCCAGAGTTTATAATCATTGTGAGACAACACTGATGAACAGCCTAGATCTGTATCACAAGCCTGTCCCCGCTGCCAAGGGCAAACTCCTATGCATCCCTTAAGACAAATGCAAATGGCTCCCCGCTTTCCCAGCTCGCACAGAAAGTCAGCTTGGCCTTTGGATATTGCACTTCGCACGTTCCTTAGGTCAGTTTACTTAACTATTTACCTGTTCTCTTCTGCCACTCCCCTTTCCAGTGGCTCTCTATGGGCAGAGTGCCCTACACTCTGGACCTAGGTATCAGGCACAGTGCCTGGGCTGTGATATACGAGCAAGAACTGACCTACAAGCAACACAGTGGGCTGTGGAGCAGAGGCTGCTGGGCCTCAGGGCTTGTCCAGTCCAGCAGTACAGGAAGAGCCCCTGGAGTGTCCCAGCAGGAGGAGACTCACCAAGATGTCCAGGGCCTGTGGGTAGATGGGTCTGTGCCACACTGAGGCCACAAGGCCCTGATCAGAACCAGAGAGTGCCCCAAGTAAACAAGGCCCCTTCCTTCCCCACTCTGCCCACCGCACAGACAGGCTCGAAGCCCCATCTGCTTGTCCAGAAGTGTAGGCGGCCCTAGCAGGTGGCAGCGTCATGCTCAGGCTCAGCAAAGATCGCCTTGGGTGCCACTGCGGGTGCGTGGACTGACCACACGCCTGCCCCTGGGGTGCGGCCCATCACAGGCAGCTGCAAGGGCACAGTGGGTTGGAGCAAAGGCAGGAAGAAGCTGGAAGAGGGTAGCCCTGTGGGATCCCAGGTCAATGTTCCTGCGGGCTGCAAGCTGCATCTGAACATCAAGGTTGCCCGCACGATGGCCTGCGTGGGAAGACTGCGACAGAGCCGGGCTGAAAGCGATTTGAATAACCTGTTCAGATCATGAGGCCCCTGGGCACCAAGCATATTATGGGGCTTTTAAAATCAAATAAAGCTAATTAAAACAAGAAAATACTCTTTGAGTCCTTGCTTTGTGGAAGGCTCATTTACAGTGGGATCAACAGTACCAGGGAAACCTGTCCTGAGAGAGAAGGGGAAGAATTAATTATGGGCGGGCATGGAGCCCCGGAACTGAGCGGCCCGTTTCCATGACTGCAGTTTCTCGGGCACCTCCTTCATTGTAGTGGGGCTCAGTCTTCTTGCGCAATCATGGGGTGAAGGCCACCTTCGAGGAGAGGTGCTGAGTAGCTGCCCTGATTGCGGCCACCCAGGGCAGCCGGTGTTTCACAGGCATCCTGCGGGCTCCCGGGGCTTCACGGGCAGAGGTGGCGGGATGTGGCACTGTCTGCAGGATGCCCCATCTGCCTCTGTCTCCTCCTCGTATATAGTCTGTGGCTCCTCTGGTTCCACAACAGACTGCTGGTCCAGGCCCTGGCTTTCCCAGCTCTGAGTGTCCCCTTGCTCCCCTTCCCGCCCCTCAGTGCCTGCCTCTTCCCTCCAGTGCCCACTTGTAAGCGGCCACCTGTTGCTGACTATCCATGGAGCTCCCTACTGTAGGTGGCTCTGTGGCTTGCCCCACTCTCCACCAGGTCATGCTGGTCGCCCTGCGGCCCTCCCCAGCTGCCCACACCTCTTCCAAGTGAGCCAGGAGGAGGCGTGTCCCTGAGCAGCATGGCCGGAGCTCGTGTGAGGGCCCAGAGAGCAGGAAGGTGCTGAGTCTCGCCTTGCCCCCAGCAGGGCCACACGACAGCCCCTCTAGGGCCCTCTCATGCCT